GTGGAGTTTCCTCGTGTTCCTGTAGAAACCTCTCCAGTATGATCCGAGCCATTAATGAGGGTGCGTAGTCCACCTTTACAAAACAGAAATAGAAAATTAAAACTGTCAAGTTCTGCAAGCAGTTGGTATTCCAATATTTTGTCAACACTGAAGATTAAGTCAATTTTAATCAACCACAGCAAGCATCATTCATTAAAATCTTTCCCACTCCTGGTGGCTTCCATCATAATAAAATTATAACAAGTATGATCTGTGCTGTTGAAAAGAATAAACGGGCGAAATTTATTAAATGTAATATTGCAGCAAAAAGGATGGAACAAGTTGGAAACAGTATTCACCCAAAAAAGTGAAATGGGCTTTTCTCACCTCTCCTCAATTTTTTTCCATTGGATGGCAGTATTATTTTTATTCCAGCCATTCTTCTTCCTTTTCAAATATCTATATTTGCACTGTTTTCAAAACAATTTCAAATAAAAATTCTTTTTCTTAGTAACTGTTTTCAGAAACTGAATTATGTCGTTAGCCATTAAAAATATGAATTTACTGATTTATCTTTAAAGACTAAATTGAAATTCTGGTATAAATTCTTTGTGTATAAAATATCTTGTTTAATGGAAGAAAAATAGCTATACTGCATAAATATTAATAATCGAATAAACAATAGTACCTGCACTATAAGACCATCTTCCTTAGGCTTACCAAAAATGTTATTTAATCAATTTGTTTAATACAGAACCCAGGGAGGAGATATATATATAAAGGATGAAACAGAAAACAGGGAACACACAGTCTAAAGTCATTTTAATTAACTAAAAATGTATCTACTCATTTGGAAATGTATTTACTTCTTTTTGATTCTCAGATCTTTCATTAACCATTGATTTCATTTCACCAGAAAACTGGTCTGTGCTTTTCAAGGGCAATAATGCTCCCCTAAAACAAGTCTTTTTATCTTAGGTATAAGATAGCAAATACTCCTCATATATTATCACTATGAATTTTTCTTGACAGGTTTTCAAGTCCCGTATTCATACCAAAATTTTTTCTTGATTTAGTAACTAGACAAAAAAGCTGGCTTCATTTGTATGAACAGTTTTTTCAAATATGTATGTACTTGGATGCCCTTAAATTCCCCAAGTAGAAAGAAATGCTTTCCACGAAGCTGCTTATTCCTAGTAACCCACATCAGAGCTGACACATGAAAAATGGTGAAATTACTGAAGGTAGTCCAGCCTGAATAAGGACTACCTTATTAGTTCAGGTACTTGCATCTCCCTAATTTTCATATTAATCATGTGTCCATCTTTCTCTGAAATAGGGCCATCATGCTTCATGTCAGAATTTAGCATGTAAGTAAAATTCATAGTGCTTCAAATCTCACTTGAAAATATTTGTGTGGAGAGAACAGAATGACTGATCTTATTATTACTAACAAAGTGAGATTTCCTAAAATGTTCATTTTAGACTTGAAATAGAAAAATTGGCATCAAGACATTTATTAAATCAACAATGACCACATATAGTCCCTACTCCCAAATCAACAATAGTGTAGTGTTTTTGTTCAAGAGAGCTGCTGCACACAGTAATGTAACAATGTTATATATTTCTCATCAATTTTTACAGTTTCTACTGATTAAATATATACTGACTCATAAAGCATGACCATCACATCAGTTGTCACCAGATGCAAGCATATGTCATTTAAGTATTAACCATCATATAAAATGGCAGCTTGGTTGTTTAGAAGCCATAATCTGATACCAGTCATTCCCAAATTTCCCTAATGGATTAGCAATCTCGCAGAGTACAATTATCTCTGAACTTATCTGCAGCCAAAAAAGAGGGAAAATCTTTAAATAAATATTTCTTTTTATTTGGTTAAACACTGCTATATATTCATAGTAAATAACAGATTTATTGACATAGAAAAATGTGTTAGTGGGTTAAAACTTTCCATATTACTAGAAGATGGAAGTTGAGGTCAGCTAAAGAAGCTAAGCTCATTGGAAATATCCATTAAAAATTCAAATGCATATAAACTACTACTATATAAAACTTAAATCATCAATATCATCTATAAAAATGAGTAGCCACATTTGCATCACATTCTTTCTAGATACTGTACCTAGAATGCTGGTAGCTTACTCTTCTTTTTCATAAGGACAATCACTAAATCCTAGTTGTGAAATACCTTCCATTGCTAACAGAACTGACTCACAACAAACAAGTCTGAAGACATTTAAAAGCCACCTTTCTCTAGAAATAGAAAAAAAATGAATAAAATACATGTTTTGTTAGGGGGGAGAACAGAAATACATTCTATGTGTTAACTATCCTATCAGATGGTGTAGACATTGCCTAGACTATTAAAACCTTCCAGTAACTGATAGGTAATTGCTCACTTGCTGACTATAGTGGTGTACAGCAGACAGCAGCCGTGAGAGAAGCCATCCTTCCTTGCTAATGTAACATGTAGAACTTGCTGCTACTGCAACACTTAATGCTCACAGTACCGAGTCATCTTTAATGCAAACACACATTTTCTGCCTTGCTTCTATGTTTTCCATTATAATGCAACATGAAAACAGTGTACATTTCATTCCATCCCTATGAGGTTTGCATATCAGTTCCAAGTCAGACTAAATATTGTATTGCTCTTATTACAGTGGATAAATATTTTAAAGTTTACGAATTAAATATTTTATTTTTTCAGTATGCTCTCTGCAACTATTATGAACTTTTTACAGCTTCTTCATTCATGGGAAATCTTTAGGGCTTCCTTTTTCAAATATAAGACTATTATTTGTTTCCCCAAACAGAAGTCGATCAGAGTTAGCAAATAAGTTCAATAAATCACTTTATACTTGCTGTTAATAGCAACAGTATGCTTCTTCATATAAAGAGACTTTTCTACAAGGCGCGTATCATTTATCACAATAAATGTTTGCTAACAAAAAAAAATGAATCAAGTAAATGTTACATCTTTAAGTATGTATTTCTCTCTTCATTGTTATAATAGTTAGTAAAGACTTTCTTGGCATACATCTCTTTACTTGACACAGGTATTTCTCACTGTAAATTAAGACAACACATCCAAAGAAGAGCATGTCCTGAGCTGTTTGGTTGAAATTTCCCACAAAATAAGAAATCAAGAAGTTGTTTATGCATTTGCCTCAGAAGAGGCAGACTAATTATATTAACTGACTTATTAACTTATGAAGTTCTCTGTCCAATAATTAAAAGTACAAACAGACTAGGGAGCAATTTAAATGTCTAGTGTACCTCAAAATCTTTTTTTCAAAGGTTAATTATAATTCTGAGCAAAGCTAGTCTACAGAGGACCCTTAGGTTTTATACAGGTTTAAATATAATAACAACAATAACATCACCTCATTGGCCAGCTCCAGGAGCACTGGGGCAGCTCCGCTTTTCCCCACTCCAGTCAGGTACCTACATAAGACAAAGCAAGTGGTAATGCAGTGACAAGAAAAGGCTGGCACAGACTTGTCAGCATCCCCTGTGTGTACACGTTTCTCCTGGGCAGATGCCACGCTCAACTCTAAAGTATGCTACTGTCACAGGAAGGCTTTGACGGGAAAGGGGTAACAAAACGACTTACCTCCAAACCACTGGATACGAACAGAAGTTGGGGTCAAGGAGGTGTGAGCATATCGTTCTCCCCTGTTTTTACTTTCCAACATGTAAAGTGAACAGGAAGGTGATTTCAAAAAGAACTATTCCCAACACTCTCGCTTCATCCATATCACATCCATCTCATGGAAAGGAAGTAAGTTCACCTGAAAACACCCATGAACCCATACTGTCTTTTTATTTACTTTTGTTTCATAGGACTGGTTGACACCTTATTAAGAAAAGAATGGGACAGACTTGTCATCAGTGGGTCAGTACACCTTTAACAGGCAATATAAGACATCATCTTATCTGTTCTGCATCTCTGTCATAACTTCCAGCCCTCCTCATCCTCTAAGCCCACTAAAAAGAAAAAAGAAAAGTTCCCAAAATCCATCCCACACATAAAAGCCAAAATGATTCTTTTAAAACAAAAATTCGAATGCATCCTCCTCCTCCTTAAAACACTTCAAAGGCCCCACATTAAATCTCAAAATTAAATTATAACCATATAACAAGCTCTTATATGGTTCTTTGAAACCTGGTTCCTACCTATTCTATTTGGCCAGCCTCATTTCTAGTGACTGTTCCCCTCTCCAACCTTCACGTATAGAACTCAAGATCCAGCTTACATGTCACCCACTCCAATCCACCACAAATCAGAAGTCAGCTAAGTGTCCCTCATGTACAACTGAGAAGCACCTTGTACACCTCTCCATCATTCAACACAGCGTACTGTATATGCCTGGTTACTTGTCTACTTTACCCCATCTCTTACTCTAAAGCTAAAAGCCCCATGAGAATAGAGGAATTGTATTTTATTCAAGTTATTAAGCCTAGCACAGTTCTTGGCTTATAATACGTGATTATATTACACATATATAGTTTTTAAAAAAATAAATGATATTACACATATACTTTTTTCATAAATTAAATAATTCTTAAAGACATATTGGACAAGAAAATATAATTAAATTTGGACATTATCTCTGTAGTATGCTGTTTGAGTGAATAAATTAACAATATTTGTTTGATAGTAAAAATCAAAGTCAGATGAGGTCTTACAAAAAAAATGCCAGAAACAGATATTAAATTATATTATTTCACAAGTATGTTTATAAAGATGTACAATTTTCCTATAAACTAAGTGGAATAAAGCATATTATTCAAAGTAGAAAGAGTTTCAGGATCACTGCAATTACAAAATAATTCTAACAAGTCCATTTCCCACATCTTGGGGACTTTCTTGAATAAACTGTTTAGGAATCTAACTGGGAAATAAGTACTTTCAGAAGCAAGGAGGAGAAAAAGTGGCAAATGTGGTTTATAGAAAGATCCCTGGGAAATAGGTCAGATAGGAACTTCCCATCATCTTACAACATTCCCACTGCACTGGTAGGCCTGCTGAGGGGAATGACCAATCAGCTCAGTCAAGTAAGACCAGCTCCTTGGGTGTCTGTAATCACCCAAAGCACACATACGTTAAGGGTTCAGACTCTGGGTCACAGCTGCTAGGTCAATACTGATATTAGGGTATCTTTACAGCTTTTTACTCAACATTCATTTATTCCACAAATATTTTTGAGCACTAATTATGTGTTGGGCCTTATTCTAGGTTCTGAAGCAACAGTAGGGAATAAAACTTCCATGGCTCCTGCCATCGCAGAGATTTTCTTTTTTTTTTTTTGCACGCACTCCTGCTAACTCCCTACCCCGGCCCCATCGCTATCCCCTCTGATTGCATGTGATAGGAGGGCCTCTTTGTGACAAGAATCAAGTCACACTGGTGTCAGAGGATATGGCTTTTTCTCTCTGTATGATGGGCCGAATACCCATGAGCAGTTCCTTGGACCTCAGTCACGCTCTTCTCTCTCCTGCACAATAGCAGCTGCCCTGCCTGGTACCTTACAGGCCAAGTCACTGCTCCGTGGTCTTTAGGGCTCAGGAGAGGCCAAAGAAGGCCCTGCGGTGTTGGGAGGACAGGTGCCCAGGGCCTTGGCAGGTTATGGAGTCTTTGTCTTGGTGGATACATGTTGAAGGCTCTGGGAGGAAGGTGTAGGGGCAGGGGGATCCATGAGAAAAACAGCAGCCCACTCAAGCCTCAGCGCCCCGGATGACGAGGACCTAGGATGCCTGGGGAGGGCTGTGAGGTGTGCTTTTTTTAATGTGTCCAGGTGTTACTGAGCAAATGGACCCGTGGCAGGGGCGGGGGGTGCCCAGATGCTATTACTGAAGCAACGACCCTAGCCTTCCCCATGGTCCCTCAGTTGTAAGTCCTTTGCCTGCCACCCTTGGAATTACGGCTCTGAATGGCAGAGTTTGGTGAAAAGGAAAGGAACTATTTATTCAAAAGTTATACTGGTTTGATTAATGGCTAAATGTCGCTCTTAAATCTCAAAATCCCTTTAAAACACCCACCAACACACACAGTCCTGCCTCCCCGCTTTGCCCAGTCAGGCCAGTCAGAGGTACTGTCCTTCAGAAGGAAAAAAACAGAAGTCTGGGGCTTGGCTAGGCAGGCCTCTTGCGGTTCTCAGCACCATCCTCTTCATCATCGTGATCTCCAGCTCTTAATCCATAACCATGTGGCACCTTCTCATGGCCCTCTAGCAAGAGTCCTTTCTTCCTGCGTGGTCTTCACATTGTTCCCCAGAGTCTGTGTCCCTTTGTCTCTCTCCCACAAGGCCCGTGTCTCTCCTCCTCCCTCTCCCAGTTACATTCTGTATTAAGTTTTTCAAAACTTCCTGATTAGCCTTGGTGATATGCAGAATAACCCTCTTTGCCTATGAGAAATGAAGCTATCCTGTTACTGACATGCAAAATGACTCAATGGCCCTGCTCCACTTCAGGTGTGAAGCTGGCTTGTTACTGATGGAGAAAGTAACTCTCAACGGCCCTGCTCCAGTCTCCCATCTCCCATGGTGGCCTGCCTTGGGGTGGGGAGAATATATTTTTCTTGAACACCCCAATTTCTGAATTCCAATTGCTAGGAATGTGGGCAGGGTGAAGCAGTGTGCGTGCTCTGGGTCTCGCGGGATTATATTACAGTGGAGAAGCAGGCAATGAAAAGACAGAGAAATAAATACATAATATCATGATAAATGCTACAATAAAATGTAAAGTGGGGTGGGCTGGTCAAGAAGCCCATCTCTACACAAGTCACACTGAGTTGAGACCTGCAAGAGGGAAAGCAGCAAGCCAAGGGAGGAAGAGCAAGCCCAGTGAGATACTAGTAAGTGCAAATGTCGGGAATGTGCTTGGGTATCTGAGGACCAGGAAATGCTCTAGGGTGACCAGAGTCGAGTTTGTTACAGCTGATGGGAAATAACAAGAGAGTTGCTGGACCTCAGACCACTGCCTGTACTAGAGAATTGTTGCTGAGTCCAAATTACATGGTTTCATGTAAACACTGCATCAATCATTATCCTGGTAATGATCAATGGGACATTTCTATTAAGTTTAGAGTAACAGGAGATGGTCAAACAATAATGACTCACTCTGTCTATACAGTCTATATAATATTGAAGTATGTTCATAAATGGAAATTCCTCATTAAGAGCTTAATAAAGCTTCCCAGTTGGTCACATACAAAAACCAAACCCCAGGGTACCGATGAAATTCATCTGGGCTCTCTGAGCTGACAAGAAGAGAAGTTCTGAAATGGAATCCTGATCAACCAAAAGCAACTGAGGTGCCTTCATCTGTTGAAAAAGGCAGACCTGCTTCCGAATGTATTTATTCCCCAATCTGTTTCCCAACTATATCCTGTAACGCGTCTCAAGTGCTAGGGAAAAGAAGTTAAAATTAATTTGAAGTTGTATTTGTTCTTTCTGAGAACTTTAATTGTCCCCCACATAAAGCAACAGAAGGGTTTTTTTTCATATTTTTAGAGATGCGATCAGAGAGGCATGCTAATTACAAAAAATATTCAATAAGGACATAATCAGATGTTCCTAATCTTACCCTCCTCTGTATCCCCAAAGCACCCTATGCAAACTTACAGCACAGACTTTCCACCTGGTTTCTTTGTCTCTCCAACTAAACTTGAAGCTGCTTGGGGTCGGGCTACACAAATGAATGCTGAACCTTCACCTAACAGATCCTTAGCGAAGGTCTGAATTACAATTGGGATGCAAGCATGTGATCCTGAACACTACATTCAGGTGACCTGAGCTATCTTCCTAATGCCTATTTGCAAATAAAAAAATGCTTTGCACAGAAGATATATGTCACCCGCTAGCTTTGCCACAGGAGGACTAACAAATGCCTTGGAGGTGAATCCATCCTTTCTCAGAGAAGGTCCGTTTTATGGTTTTTATCATGTGTGTGTGAGAGACACATTAGTATCTAAGATTAAAATACTATATATGATTTTAAATATAAGGCAAAATTACTTGGTCTTTAAAATATTCATAATAACTCTAATGGTGAAACTTAGAAAACCTACCAATTGAATGAAATTCAATTGATTTGATTCCCTAAAGCTGATAAAGCTGGCCCACAGACATTGTGTGTTGGCAGAAGAGAGGAGATGTGAGACAATGCTTCTCAACTTCACCATTGATGGGGACTTGCAAATCTTACTAATTCCTGAGTGCGTCTGTGTGTGTGCACACAGATTTTATCTAGTATGTTTCCCATTTGGAAATAAAATGCCATTAGTACAAGGACATTGTTTTCAAAATAAACATTCAAGCTGTGAATGTTTATAGCTGTGACTATACCTACACAACATGAAGAACTGGAGAAATTTCCTCTATCATTCAAAAGCTTGAGAAAACACTTTTCTATGATATTTGGATACTGTAAAGTTTCAGATAAGTATGATGGAATCGTACTGTGGATTATATGGTTTTAAATACAGGCTTCGAATTCTGAATAGAAATCATCTCAATGCTATCAAGAATGCAAAAAACTTGGGAATTCTCTAAAATTGCTACTAGGAAACCATTACAAGCTTTCTAGCCAGTAATTTGGCAACATATAATAAAATCTTGAAATGCACTTTGCACCAAAAATTATAGATACAGAAATATTAAAGAACTAATCCAAAGGCAAAGACTTATACATCAAAATGTTTATCATAGTTTTTATAATATGAGAGCATTGAAAACATGTATATTCAACAAAGGAATAATTCAATAAATTATGATACTTTCATATGATGAAGTAATGCAATCAATAAAATGTTTACAAAAGCTTTCTACAAAATGGCAGTACGTCATAGACATTTTTCCAAGTATAAAATTCAGTATTCACAATTGCATATATAGTATGACCTCATCAATACAACAATGGATTGACAAAAGAGTAGAATGAAAAATATCACGGTGGTTATCTCTGAACACCACAATTATGAGCTATCATTCACTCCTTTTTAAAATCATCACAAATGTGCTACATTTTTACAATAGGTGAGTACTACTTCTATAAAAGCAAAAAATTTAAATTGTTAACATTGTCAAGTTGCTAAATTACATTTTGAGATAATAAAATTTTCCCTCATTCTAATGAGCTGGAAAACAAAAAATCTGTTTGAAGGCCAATTTACCTTACAGAATACAAGGACATACAACCTGCACGTTTAGACCAAGAGGCCTGTAAGGTCAATCCCTCCGAAAGGTAACAACACAGCCTGTCTCCAAGCACAAAGTGCAGGGCAGAAAGTCAGGGAGCAGCGCAGTAACATAGAAAGCTAAGCAGACTGCTTTCCCATTAGTTTGTCCATTACAGCCTAACTTTATGTTTTTGTATCAGAGTCTGTGACTTCTCAAAATATTGAGACTCTCACATTTAAATAAATGTACAGAAATACAAATATATTTTTATAGTCTCATTATTACACACTCAATTGTTCATCATTTAGTAACCATACAAAACACAATTTCTTTTTTCTGGTCTAAACTACACAGATAATCCGAAAAAGTATGTTCATACTTTATAATTAAATATACTTCTTAATGAAACTAAGATTTTAAAAAGCAGCACCTAGAGATCTTGGAAATCATCCATTGAAACAGCCTGTATACAATGAGAAAAATGGCCTCATAATAGATCTCCAAATTCCTAGTAAATGCTCTCTTTTCCTTCACTTAGGTTAACAAGGCTTTAAAATCTGGACATAGAACCATACGTTTTAATGATGGCCTACGACTGTAATTGTACAAGCAAAGATATACTTTTGACATGTAAATAACTTTTCAGTCTTTCTTTGGAGGGTCTGAATGCCAAAACAGTTGTTGGCTTCACAGAACTTCATGAACCATTCTTAGTCTTATGTGTATGATTTTAATTTAAATGTTAATTTCACTAAAGACAGTATGACTTTTGAATAAATCAATTCAAATTTTATAAAGACTTGTTTAGAGGGGATTTCTCCTAGACACAGAAGTTATGTGTGTGTGTGCGTGTGTGTGCTCACCTGTCTTTAACAGATACTACTAGTGAAAACTGAATGTATCTTTCATCATACAGAATGCGTAATTTTTATAAAATCAAACTTCAGTAAGTTCTCAAATCTCAAAAAATGACCTTACAAAAGCATGACACCAGTATTTTATCTATACAGTAATTTCATTCATAAAATTTTCATGAATAAAAATTCACCTAAAATTAGTAGCGTCGCTCTCACCATGGAAAGGTTGATCTGTCAATCTTAAGTGTAATAATTTAACAGCATATATTCAAAGATTTTCCTTTCCAATATGCCCTTGAAATATTTAAGAAGCCAACAATTTCAGTAGTAATAGTAATGGAAATCATTACTATTTACCATTATAAATTAGTCAGATTGCAAAGCCAATACAATTTTTAAAAAGAGTTAAAGTATCCTGTTTGTTTTAGAACTGAGCTTGAAAACTATTTATAATAAATTAGGCTGGAATTAAATATCCCATGGACACTGTGATGTTGATTTAATGCCCAAGGTTTTCTTTTTAAAATAAAAACTTTTAAAATATAACAGTAGTATATTATTATATATCTCCATGACCTTACTTGGCATATGTCTCACCCCGACCCCAAAATGGCTAACCCAACACCTATGATGAAAAATACAACTGAATGAAAATTCAATCTTATTTTCTAATACATTTTTCAACTTGTTGATGTAAAGAAATAAATGAAAATTGTTTTGAGAACTTTCACACATCCATACAGATATAGGTACCCATGAACATACGGATTTATACAAGACATACTTTCCAGTAGTCAACTGAGATTTCATAATATTGTAATGACTGTCTACAAAATATGTACATACACCCTAACTCAAGGCAGTCTCATTATATCCCTTAAATCTACAAAATGAAGCATTTTAGAAATCATTCAAAAATATATGTGAAGTTTTAAATAACAGACTTAAAACAAAATTCTTTCAAATGTTATATAGAAAACTAATTTAGTAACCTAATTTATTCATAATTATTATTACAATTAATAGGTACTATGATACCCTCTAGTGGGGCAGGCAGGTCATACCTCTGGTAATAACTTTCAATCGCCTCTGAAGTATGATGTTTGGCATGTGTTCTTTTAATATGTTTCTGAAACAAAACAGAAAAGATCTTTATGTTGTGTCACAGATGAGGTTCAAGAACAGAAACAAACAATTTCTTCATCCCAACATCCAACACAAAAAGCAAACTGAATAACGGTTTAGGGATTTGGGTGCTGTTAGGTCTTTTTCCCTTCTACTCCATGAACCGACACATTTTAATCTCCACTGCTTGGCTGGGATGTCTTCAGACTGTACCACAAGGTACAGTATGTATGTAAAAGCCAACAGGGTCAGAGCAATTGAATCTAAATAAGTTTGCTTAGGGTTGCAGAGAGCAAAGAAAAACTTGTTCCCTTGAAAACCTTTGTATTAATTTTCCCTCAATTCAATTCTATCTGAGTCCTCTGCACTCTAGTTTTACAATCCAATTGCCATTTTTAACCAGGAAGAACATTGCTTAAAAACAACTTATTTGAAAACTACAAAAAGTAATTCCATCGAGACTTGCCACTTGACTGACATCTGTCATCTCATGATAAATGACTCCATTTTCTGCCTCTCTTGCCTTCTGCCACTCCAGCAATGGTCATTTATCATCATCTCTGTCAGCAATGGAAAGCAGCACTGACAGTGCAAGTCAGCAAACATTTAGCACATGGAACCACGCAACACAGGGAAATTATTATTGTCAGAATAATAATGGTTTAGCATAATTTATTACAGGTCCACCAAATAAGCAAAGGCTAGATGTTATTAGACAGATGGATGGGTAGGCTTGGCAGGCCTCCACTGAGACGCAGGCGGTGCTTGATGTGGAAAGGAGAACATCCTCCAACCCAATCAGAGAGCTGGCAGTTCAATTACAAAGAAATAAAGGGACATTCATCATTCAATTAGGCACCTGTCAACCCTCACAAAGGAGAAAACTTCTAACCTGGTACTCCTGGGAGAAGATGCTCAGCAGAGTGGCCTGCGATTGACTGGAACAAATAAAAGAAGGACAAAGTTAATTACTGGAGTGCACGGCAAAGAAACAAAAGAGAAAGGAGCTTCAAAGGTAGGCCTGCTGCCCTGTAATCTAACAGAACATGAAAACAAGTGTGGAAAAGTTGTTCCAGATGAACACCTCAGACAAAGGCTTCCTGCTGCTAGGTCAAGGAGAGAGAAAAAGGGAAAGGGGAAAATGTGGACGGTCTCAGAGCCAAGTATCATATGATTTGGATTTTTTACAAAACTTTAGAATGATTGCAAATCATATCTGTAGCATGCAATGATGTTAAAAGGGATCAAAAGCAGGCAAGGTTTATTTCCATTAATAAATGAGAGAGTTAAGTCCCACAAACAACAGGAAACGTGCTGCGTATTTGTTGGAAACACTCTGAAATTTGTTGTTAGCCGACAGGTATCCTCTTCTGTAGCTGTCTCAGATGTAGAGGGAAAACTTTGGTCTTCTCTAGAAGTAGCACAGAGGCCACGAGGACATTCCCACTGACACTGGCGTCCTTTGAAAATAGCAGCTTTCACCGCAGGAAGCTGAGTTCCTTCATGTGAGTCATTCCCAAAGACCGCCTTCTTCATCTAAGACACCACGCATTGTCCAACACCTGTCAGTGAGGCAGCCTCGAAAACCTTCTTCCCAAGTGGGACTTTTTCTCTCACAATTGTTAACATTTAAAAATGGAACAGAATATTTTTATCTCTAAAAAACAATCAATGCCCTATTGCTACTATTTTGGATTGTTCTCTGTAGCTATATCTACTTGATTGTATCTTGAAAACAATTATCTCTGATATATTTTCCTATAAAATGCTATCTGAACAAATTACAGTATTAATAATTTGACTTTTAAAGTACACCAGAGCACTGTGAATAACTTTTTTTTTCCCAAGAATGAAACCTCTTAAGCTCTTCAGAGTAAGTTGGGCAGTGTAAAATAAAAACAAAGGCAGTGTATTTCTTTATTCACTGTTTCATTTTTGGCATTTTCTTTATTCCACCCTAGATTTGGTTTCTAACCCCTTCCCACTCTTGTCAGATTATAAAACGTAGGTTAAAAAGAAACACATAAATGTTTACTAAGGAAAACTGGTAATTACTAAAGGATGGTTTCAATAACCCAAAAGTACTGAGAAATTAATTAATGCAATTACAAATTCATTAGAATCCATTTTTTAAATTTTCCTTTAAAAATGAAAACCACCTTTCAAAGAACCAATTTATACATAAAATCTTATACCTGACTTGCCTGAGTATCACATGCAAACCACATATCCTCATAGGGTTGCTGACAACCATCTTCTAAAAAAAAAATGGGAAAATTAAACCCAAATATTTGTAAACCACTGAATAAGTCAATAAATTAGATATTTTTATGCAGTAAATGGACCCCTCCAAATCCTAAAGCAAAATATATTTATGTTAACCTTTAATGGTAGACAAAATGTCAGTCTCAATGTACCAAAAATATGATGGAAAGAAATGTGTTTGTAATGCTCAAACCAGAGAATAAAGAGGAGGAAACTAAACTGCGAATTAAAAAAAAAAAGTGATTGTAGATGCCCAGATGAGATAATGTCTTTAGCCAAGAAAATGTCTTTAAACTGCTTAGAATTCAACTAAAACCATAGACAGAACCTATGGAGCAACCCATTCTCCCAGTGGCCAGGGGGATTAGAGAGGAGATTCCAGCTTACACTGGGAATAAAAACTGGCTAGACCTCAAATGAGAAAATGGGTTATCTAACACGGTAACAACAGAAGGCAGCCCGAGGTCCAAGGTGCTTTGGGTCTGGCTGACAAGATAAAGATGCAGAGAACTAAATGACCTCTGCTAGGTAGTTTGCCAGGCTACTCTCTGTTCCTGTATGTGCCAAGCTTATAGAAGTTCTGAACAAGCCTTACATGTAAAGAGCATAAAGTAATTTTAATGCAATTAAGACCCTGGCTCCAGTGTTTATTATTTGCTTCTTTCTTCCAATGTGAATATCACAATCAATCAATCAGCAGTATCCACTTAGTATCTACATTGTCCTAACGTTATAGGTATGGGGAACTATGACATCAAAATAAAAAATTAAATGAGGTAGACAGGAATTGACTTAGAAGAAACTTCCAACATATATGTACAACCCTTCCTCAAATACGGTCAGATATTCATACATGTTGGGGGGATCTGGTGAAGTAAATCATACCCTGAAATCTCATATATTTCAGGACCACATTGGCTTTGGAACGTATGAGGTCTGTGTGGAAAAAGCCCAACCATTGTTAACATAATAAGAACGGTTTGTACCACACCGATGTAACCTGGCAGTTAAGGAGATTGGACTGGAATGTGCATGTGTGAACAACGATGACTTCACTATACTAGTCAGTGGGGACGGTGGAGGCCGTTGAGTGAGCACGTGTACTGTGTGGCTGTCACATTCAAAATGACTCAGTGAGTAGAGCAATAAATCTGCATCAAATTTTGCATTAAGCTTGAACATTCCTCTGCGGAAACTCTTCAAATGATTCAGAAGGCTGCGGGTATGGGTAAATGGTGATTGGCAGCTTCATCATGACAACATACCCACTGAGGCATCACATCTTGTGCAGTTTTTTGGCAAAACATCAAATCACCCAGGACTCAGCCCCCCTACATCCTAGATTTGGTGCCCTGTGACTTCTGGCTTTTCCAAAAACTAAAATCACCTTTTAAAGAGAAGAGAAGTCAAACTGTCAGTGAGATTCAGGAAAATACGATGGTGCAGCTGACGGCGACTGGGAAAACTGTGAAGTTCCAAGGTGCCTACTTTGAAGGGGACTGAGGCATCTTTGTCCTATGTACAATGTTTCTTGTATCTTCTTCAATAAATGTTTCTATTTTTCATATTACATGGCTGGATACCTTCTGGACAGGCCTTGTTCATCTGTCACTTAGCATATAAATTTTCACATTCAAAAATGGTCACTTAATTTGCACAAATGCCTGATACATTATTAAAACCTCTTCAAAAATCAGTTTTATGTTTTCTCCCATGATACCATCCCAGACTAAGTTCCTCCCCATGTCTGAGAAAGGAGCAATTGGGAGGACCCCTAGAATGCTCCATGACCTTGCCTAGGCAGGTGACAGATGGCTGTATGGGGCAGCAGCAGTCATAGAAACAAGCATGAGGACAAAGCCTACAACACCGAAGACAGCAGGACAGAGAATGGAAAGAGCCCAGGTCCTTGAGGAAGGACACAGCAGAACTGCTCAAGAGGCCAGGGATGGAAGTGGCCAGCCTCCACAATTCTTTTGAGTAATAATACAAGCTTTAAAAAAAGGTTTCTATGTGCTGGGCAAGGAGGAGGCCTAATGGAGGGAGGGCTCTGAGACAGGGCGCTCCCTTATGATGCCATGTGCATGGGATGTGATGTTATACATGAAAGGGATTGTCCATTTTTACACTTTCTGAATCTCTTCTTAGCTGGCAGCTACTATATTTGGCTTCCTTAAAATTGTTCCTCTGTCTGTCACTGTGTCACTAAATTGATGTGCCTAGAGATCATAAATTGATGTGTGTATAATTTTTCCATAGGGATTTTAAACATTGATAGGGTACTACTAACCCTCATTTTATAGTGCATTCAAGACAATTCAGATGCCAGGTATGTATAAACAGGCAAAAAAAAAAAGAAAAAAAAACCAACAAAAAACACATTTCCCCATATAGCATTTTAACTCACCATGTCCCCAAACCCAGCCAAGACACTCATTAACCTGAAGGACAGTAGAGAAAATGAGGGTTAGATGGTTACAGCGTAGACTAAGGGCAGAGTTCAGCGCACACTTAGTTGCAACATTCATATGATGGGCAAGTCCTCATGCTCCCAGGTGAAGACTTAAAAAAACAGAATCTTAAGGTAGAAGATACTGCACATCTTATGCCCTTCCTCTTCTCAAGTATCCAACCTCTGAAAATGACCATAAAGAAGTAAATACTGTTCTTTCATTTTCAAGCTCCTTTTGCTACAGAATCTAGGAAGCATAGAGGTCTAAACTCTATTGGGTTCAAAATTATCTGAGCAAAATGAGTGTTATTTCTGGGACTCGGGGAGCAGTAAACCATTAAAGGAGGTAAGGCAGGATACTCCGACACAGCGTTAGGCCTGGAGACCTCGCAATTATAAGGCATAAACAACTTCATTAAATCTGAGAAAGGATTCAAGGGAACACTGATCTTATGTGGTTACTGACTCAGAGTACTAGTCAAGGAAGGTTTTCTATGAAAGAAATATATTTACCTTCCCTCATACACCCCCATGCCCTTCATACACACACCTGCACACAATCTGAAACACAGAGCCTCCGCCCCCTCCTCAAAATCAAAATGGAATTCAATAAAAGAGCAAGACTTGATACATTACCGCTAACTTCACTTTTTTTTTCAATAACTACAATGTGCAATGGAAAGAATCTGGGAAATTATTGTGCAGAAAAAAGGAAAAATAATTAAAATAAATTCAGGAAAAGAAATGCATCCATCATACCCTCTCCTCCATTTCTTCTTTCTAATTTCCAACTTTACATCAAGGATGCAGACTATGATTTATGCCTAATCATAGCAGATATACCCATTAATGACTATATAGGTGACAACATTAAGCTTAGTAGTAATTGATATCAAAAATTAAAAAAGCTATTCTTATGTTATATATAGGAAAGAAGTGGCTACTATCCCAGGCACTGAATTAATTTTGCTGATAAACTTAAGTCACATGCAAAACAGCTCTTTGACAAGAGCCAGGAGTTGTATGAACACCTGCTTTGTGCCAGACACTATATTAAAGCATTTTATCTTACCCTCAACAATCCTCTAAGGTAGGTACTATTATTGTCCTTATTGTAAAAATGGAGAAATGAAGGAAGAATAGGTAAATGAAATACACAATTAAAGAGATAGGACTGGCAGTAGAGCTCGAAATCAAAATCCATACACAATTCCAAAACCC